TACCTGGTACGAATCGACAGCTGCAGACCCGGATCACCACCCACTTACGCTCCAGACGAAGAAGAATTGCCGCCGCCCCGCTCCCAGGGTCTTCAAGTCAACCCGACGTACGCTGCAGTCGCCAACGCCGAACCCACCGGGCGAAACACCTGGTTCCTCGACAGCTGCTGCGGCCAACATATGTGCTCTTCCGGGCGCTTCGTGCAATAAGAACGACGTCTCAACCGCGATGTCATCATCACCGTCGCCAACATCGAGAACCTGAAAACAAACAGACAAGGAGTGGTTCAACTTTAGTCCATGGACACAAACGTCATACTGCAACTCAACAAGGTTCTAATCGTCGACAACTTGGGATACAATCTACTAAGCGTCAGCCAGTTAATGGCAAAGGGGATTCACCTGGAATGCGACTCGGACTCCAACGAGTTTCGCCTTTACCACGGGAACGGCGGCCTCTTCATCGGTCGTGCTCTTCTGAAGTCGGGTGTCTTTGTGTTGGATTTCGTCCCCGACCGCGGAACTGCCGACAGCGATGGCATCGTGTCGTTCGCCGTCTGGACACACCCGCCGGATCTTGACCCCGACTTCACCCTAGATGGATTCTGGTACTCCAACACCATACCTGCAGCAGAGAGAATGCGAGCGTTAGCAATCATCCGACAAGAAAGACAAGTATCAGCAAGCGTCCCTTCCCGGACATCATCTGCAGTAGCAGCAACAGGAACCAGCCATGTACCATCACCAGCAATCCGAGGACCGCCAATCGAAGCAGATCAACTTATGCCCATCACCCGTGAAGTCTGCCGAAGTCCCGCCACGGTCGTCGCGTTCTTCTCCAACGCTGACATGTACCAACGCTCACCTGGCCATCGCGCTCCCGACGACATCTGGCATCAATGCCTCGGACATCCTGCAAACAGAAAAGTACTACAAACAATACAAGCCGGCCAGGAGCTTCGACGACCCTGCGCCCGATGCTTCACGTGTCCTGAAGCTAACCTTCCCCATCAACATTTCCCATCGCACCACAATCCAAGCGCACCTGCAAACGCGCCGATGGAAAAAGTTTACAGCGACATCCTAAATATGCCTCGAGACGACAGTGAAGCAGAGTATAACTATGTCATCACGTTCATCGACGCAGCAACACGATACGTCTGGCACTACAACCTCAAGACACGCGATCAAGCATTCGAAGCCTTCACGACGTGGCTCCCCATCGCCGAACGCGAATCGGGTTCCCAACTCAAGAGCTTTCAGTCGGACAGGGCACTGGAGTACCGGTCACAAAGGTTCAGGAGCTATCTCGCAGAAAAGGGCATCAGACACCTGGTGTCCCTGCCCTATGCTCACCAGCAGCATGGGGTCGCACAGAGGATGAACCGGACCTTATAGACGACAATGCGAAAGCTGCTCCTGGGGATGAGATTGCCCAACACGCTTTGGCCTGACGCGATGACGCATGCAGCTCCCCTGCACAATTTGCTGTCCTCGATGTCACTTCCCAACAATGCCTTACCGCACCTGCTATGGACAGGAAAACGGGGCAGCACAAAATTACTTCGAGTCTTCGGCTACATGGTACAGTACAGACCCCACACAGCTCGAACAGGACGATTCTCTCAACGAGCACGGTGGAGACTACACCTCGGTATCGCAAAACATTTCAAAGCATGGAAACTTCTCGACATACAAGACAAAACCACCGTGGCCTCATGTGATGTAAATTTCTACGAGCGATTGACGCTTCAGCATTACCTGGACAACGTCGCCAGCACAGAAGACCCCACCGATGGCTTCGAGGGCCTTCGGTCCTTCGCCGACCGTGCTGCCAAAGCTGACGCAGCAGAAGAAGACGTACCTGAAGCCTCGGAAACTGCCGGACCACTCCCTTACTGCTCCATACCTGTTCCACTCGACGACGACAATCCTCTCGATAGTAACAACCTCGACACCTATTACCACTTTGCTGACCAGGGTTACACTACACCTCAACCGGTCAACACAAATATCGGAGAACGCATCAGACCCAATTTCTTACCTGACCCTGAAGATGGTGACGAAGCAGCTTATCCCGAGAATGACAATTCCCCTCGACACACACCCACGGGCATGCAGATACTCGGACTATGGGTCTCCGTTCAGAGCCCGCCGCCGCCGTCGTCGCGAGAGCCAACGACACTGTCGCAGGCTCTGGGGGGGGAACACAAGGCAAAATGGAAGGAAGCAATGGAAAAAGAACTGAAGGCCCTGCAAGACCGAAATACGTGAAAGCTGGTACCTGCAACAAAAACCAACGGGAAGAATGTGCTCTCGGGGAAATGGGTGTACCGCATTAAGACTAATGCGGATGGCTCGATCGACCGCTTCAAAGCTCGATGGGTTGTACGAGGATTCGATCAGCGATACGGAACCGACTACACGGAGACATTCGCCCCAGTCTCCCGGCATACCTCCCTGCGCATACTGCTCGCCGTCACGGCCACGAAAAAGCTACCACTGCGCCAGATTGATGTCTGTCGCACACACTCCTTCTCCCGGGCTCACCTCCCCTTCTGCCCTCCGAGTACTAGCTACCCTGGATCCTTCACCTTCTGCCCTTGTCGCCTTTTGTATGTCACTACCTCTTGAGGCACCCTCTCCCAGGAAAAGATCCCGAGGTCCCGTCTCAACCACCTCGTCTACTTAGCTCTCCTTCATTTATCCTCTCATGGTGGATCTGACCTTTGCCCGAGAAAGCTTCCACTAGCAACAAGGCATACAAGTCTTCCCACGGTGTCCGAGAGAACAAACAAAGTAACGAAGCGATAGCTCGACCTTGGTTTTGTTCTCCCTCACTAGAGGATGCCTCCTAGGCCAAACCCTTCCCTCCCAAATGCTCTAGCCGCAAGCCGTTTCGGGATTTTCTCTCCCATGATGGCTCCCGGTAATTGTGCCATCCCTGCACCAATCCCCTCTCTGCATGCCCGCGCTCCGTGTCGCTCGCACCCCTGCTGACCTGGATGACGTCAGCTATCCTCCCTTTCCAACTGTCCACCTCCGCGCCAACCTCCTATCCTGAAATTCGGTACTGTACAACCAACTCCCTGAATCGCATAACCCTATCTACACGAACGATTATACTCTATTCTTACACCCAAACTACAGTGCTGTCCCATGCATTCTTGGTACTTTTATGCTACCAAGAGTCATGCGACAGCTGTCGCACACACTCCTTCTCCCGGGCTCACCTCCCCTTCTGCCCTCCGAGTACTAGCTACCCTGGATCCTTCACCTTCTGCCCTTGTCGCCTTTTGTATGTCACTACCTCTTGAGGCACCCTCTCCTGCCCCCTCGTGGCTGGACCAGTGTCCTCGCGGTCTGGCCACGATCGCCCTGCACTAGCCACGTTCGAGATGTGGTCCTCCACTGTCTTCTCTTGGCGATTCTGCAGCAACAGCACACCTGACTCCTTCTGCGCCTTTACCATCCACCGCTGCCTGCTCAGACCATAATCGAGCGTACTCCGCTGCCGTTCCCTCAAATACACTTCGTCTCCAGTCTGCAGGACCTCCCGGTGTCCGCCAGTGACAGCCTCTCCTTGCTTGCGCTGTCTGTACCTCCGTGCGTCTCGCATCTGCGCCACTTCTAAATTCTCCATTGCGGCTGGCAGCGCGCTGCAGAGATAGCTTGCGCGAACGGCTGCTACCGCCGCCCAGGTCCGCGGGTCCTCTGTCTTCACTGAATCGGTCATGATGCGTGGTGCGTCCACTGGCAATATGGTCTCCCGTCCGTATAGGAGATAGTACGGCGAGTAGTCCCTGAGTGCCTGCTGCTTACTAAACCGATAGCCCGCCGCTACCCAGTGCAGATGACGATCCCAGTCCCTGCGGTCTTCCTCCTCGCAGTATTTCCGAAGTCCTTGCTTAAGGGTTTGCACCATCCTCTCTGTCAGCCCATCCGCATGTGGGTGGTATCTTGACGTCCTTCGGTGAGTGATGCCTGCTTCCCCCAGTAACACATCGAATTCTCCCGCGAACTCACTGCCCTGATCGGTTAACACCTCCCCACATGCCCCGAACCGGGTCAGCACCTGTTGCTCGAATGCTTCTGCTACTCCGGCTGCCGTCTTGCGCGCCAGCGCCCTCACCTCGATCCACTTGCTGGTGTGTTCTATCATCACTAGCACGTACTGCTTTCCTCTCCTGGATAGCGGCAGCTCCCCTGCAATATCTAGCGACCACCGGAAGCCTATCGCACCAATGGGTAAGGACTGAAGTTCGGCCTTGGTCTTCTCCAGTTTTGCCTTACTCCTCCTGCAAGGTTCACACCGCTCCACCACTGCTCTTACTCCTTGTCTCATCCCTGTCCACCAGTACATCATCTGCAGTAGCTGAAGAGTGCGCTCCGTGGCGTAATGTCCCAGCCGAGTATGTATCTTAAGAATAAGTGCTTCTCGCTCCGCTGGCCTTGGTACAATCCTCCACCCATCCTCCGTTACCAACTGCAGCTGGTCTGCCTGCCAACGGTAATGTATTCCCCTCGCTCTCACCCTTTCAGGCACTTCCTCCCCGTCGGGCCCCTTGCCCTGGACCCAATGCAGTACCGGTGTATCCTCCCAGACCTCCTTGCTTCCCTTCTCTTTTTCTGCCCTCCGTCTCCAGCCTTCTTTCTCCACTGACACGGCTAGGCAGGTGAGACTGGTCTCAGCTCCAACGACTGACTCTCCCCCTCCGGGACCTTGCCTAGACAGACCGTCCACATGCTGTAAAGTTTTTCCTGGTCGATGCTTCACCTCGAACTCGAATTCTTGCAGCCGCATTGCCCATCTTGCGTTGCGGCCTCTCAGCGTTTGATTGGTCATCAACCATAAGAGAGGCTGATGATCCGTCACCAGCGTGAATAACCGGCCCTGCAGGTATGAACGAAAGAGCTCCACGGCCCATACGGCTGCCAGTCCTTCTCCCTCGTACGAGCTATAGTTGCTCTCCGCGGGGCTGCATGAACGGCTAGCGTATGCCACTACTCGCTCTACCCCTCTTTCCTCCTAACACAGTACTGCCCCCATCCCGCTGCTGCTCCAATCAGTGTATAGCACGAAAGGCTCTTTCGGGTTGGGCAATTTCAACATGGGGGCTGTCTTAACTGCCTCCTTCAGTGTCTGCCATGCAGCTTCCTGTTCCTCTCCCCACGTCCACTGCACATCCTCTCTGAGCAGCCAGTTTAAGGGCTTTGCTGTCTTGCTGAAGTTCGGCACAAATCTTCTGTAGTAGCTCAGGAAGCCCAGCTGTGCCCGGAGCGAACTTCTGTCTGTTGGCGCCTGCAGCCTGTCCACCACCTCCACCTTTGCCTGCTGCACCGACAGCCCCCCTTCTCCCACTTGGAATCCCAGGTAGGCCACCGTTTTAACGCCGAAGTGACACTTTCCTGGGTGACAGGTGAGTCCAGCCTCTTGTATGGCTGCTAGGGTGGCCGCCACGTCTTGCACATGCTGCTGTCCGTCTTTGCTGAACACCACTACGTCGTCGATGTAGCATACGGCTCTAGGAACTCCCTGCAGCACCTGATCCATCACGCGCTGAAACTTCGCCGATGCATTCTTGAGTCCGAATGGCATGTAGTTCCATTCGTACAGCCGATCCGGCCCATGGAAGGTTGTCTTCGGCTTGTCTTCCTCCTTGATAGGGATCTGATTGAAACCTTGTCTCAGATCTAGCGTCGAATATACGGTTCCCTCAGCCAGCTTGTCGAAGATCTCTTCAGCCATCGGCATGGGGTACCGATCGCTCTTAGTGATCCTATTCAGCCCCCGGTAGTCACCACACATACGCCTTGCCAGCGTTTCTCCGGTCAAATCCTTCCTTGCCGCTACCACCGTAGCAGCTGCATACTCTGAGGTTGATTCTCGTATGAGCCCAGCTGCCAGTAGTTCGGCACATTTTGCCTGTGCAATGTCCCGGTCCCCAGGGCTCATCCGCCGCCTCCTTTGGTACACCAGCTCGGCACTCTGCAATTCTATCTCCATGACCGATTTTCTGCACTTGCCTAATTCAGCCAGAGAATAGGCGAATGCCCCCCTCGCTTTCTCCAGCACCTCCCTGAGCTGCTCCTTCTCTTCCTCATTGAGCCCTTCTCCCATCTCCCAAGCTGCCGGCATGTCCACAGGGGATGGCACATCTCCTTCCCCCTCCTTCCCTTCCTGCAGCTGCTCGCTGGCCTCCTCTTCCTGTCTGGCCCGGGCCAGCAGGGCTATGCCTCTCTGATTTAATTCTTCTTCCTCCATGCGCCTTTCTTCCCCGGCCTCTGCCTTCATTCTCTGCCATGCTTCCGCCACGTCTAGGGCTCGCCCTGGGTCCTCCTCCAGCATCTCTTCAATGTCCCGCCACCTCCAAAGCATCAGCAGTTGCCACCTCAGCACCTCCTGCCGCTTCTCAGCCCTTAACATTAGACACACCAGGGCATGCTGGTCTATGGCTCCCCCCAGGGCTCTCCTCCTGGCCTCCTCTGACACTCCCTCAGCGGCTGTGGCGTTCCTTATATATCCCAGTGCCCTCTCTCTCTCCACCGCCAACGGCTCCTCCCACCTCCCTGTTGCCAACACCTGCACCATTCCTGGTCCAGGCTCACTCCCTTCCATTCAAAAAGCGTAGCTAGCGGGGGTCGCTACCAACGTTGGCCAAGCCTGCCTCGGTGCCCCCACCTGATTGCATGGGAATTGCGACTTCACGTCTGGCGTAACGACTGGTGCGGCTCTTCGGCCCGGCTCCAATATATCTTGCATCAGCCTGGGCAGCGGTCTCTGCATCCTTCCCACCTGGTCTCTTAGCACCGGCTCCGATATCAGATTCTGCCAATATCGCCTCACCCGATGCGTCCTGGATCCCATCTGCGCTGCGTCCCATGCCACCCCATGTCCTAGCTCCCCTGTCACTGCTCTGTGTGCTTCACGCACTAAGCTTCTCTCGTCCTCGGCCACGTCCAGGTTTTCCACGATATACGCCACCGGCCCCTGCCTTCTCTTAATCAGCTTCATAACCCTTATCAGCTCCTGGAACAGCCCGGTCCGAGCATCTGTCAGTCCTCCGCCCCTTCCGGCCCTGGAGAGTCCCTGACACTCCCAGCCCACCACTAGTAGGTCAATCTGTCCCCATTCCTCCACTGTCTGCGGGCTGATACTTTGGACGTCATACACCTCTCGTGCCGCCGCCTCCGCCTCTTCCACCACCGCCATTGGTAACTTGTCTGGGAACAGCTCATGCAGCACGCGTGCATGATGGAAGGCCATGAGGCGCACCTCCTCGCTTTTCTCCACGTAAATCCATTTCTTGATCGTTTGCCCCGTCCTCACACAAGCGGCCAGCCCGGGACCGATGCCCCCAAACATCTCCAGCAGCGTAATCGGCCGATTGAATGTCTCGAAGTCGTACGTGGGCTCAGTTAGCCCGCGCGCTTCTCTGTACTCGGCCAGATTGGGACCCGCTGCCGCTTCCCACCTTTTACGTTCACTGGTGCGCTCCAGGTACACTCCTGCGTCCTCGAATCTCAGTTCGGGCACTTTGTCGGCTGGCGGAGCCCTGTACTCGGGTTGGCTCCTCAGGAAGCAAGCCGGCAGCGTGGCTGCAGTATTCACCTCCCTACGTATCTCGTGGTCCCAATACCGTGGCTGGTACGTCACCCTCTCCGTCCAGGTGTCCACCACTGCTCCCACCTTGTACAGAAGTTCCATCCCCAGCAACAGATCATAGTCATCCGAATCCGACACTAGGCAGTGCACTCGGATTCTAGCCTCGTCCTCAGTTCCTGGGGCCAGCACTACCTCCTGTGCCTTTAGCGTCCTTGGCAACCACTTGCCCGCCCCTCCTTCTGCCGTCTGAATCCGAACTCCCTTGGGTGTTACATTCTCTTCCCGGTGCAGGCCCAACCGCTCTGCCAGACGACGTCCCACCAGCACTTGCGACGCTCCGGTGTCTATAATGGTTGTCCCGGGGTACTTGCCTTCCACTGCTACCGCTCCCTCTATCGCTTCCACCAGACATGGTCGAGCCGCCATGCGCTCAAAAGGGTGCCTGTGTGGACCGTGTCTGCCCCCAGCTCGCTCCATCGTCTCGCTTGCGCCTGCTGCTGCCTGCGTCATGGGCTGCCTTTCTCTGGTCCGCAGCCCTCTGCGGGTCGTCGCCACTGCTCGTCTCCCATCAGCGCCCCCACTGCGCAGGCCCAAGTCTTCCCAGTCCCGCTCATTCCCTGCCGCCATGAAAAATGGCTCCCCTTTCTCCTCATCCCCGCCCGGCAGAGCACTAGCCAGCAACGCCGCCCGATCTACTTCCTCTTCGCTAGTCTCCTCCTCCGCAGCTCTTAGCTTCTTCAGTTCCTCCTCTAGCGCCTCAATCCGACTCCGGCGGCCCCCTTTGTTCTTCTCCTCCCGCTGCCTGGTGTAGCAGTTGTCGATGGCGTGCCCCTTTCTCTGACAGTACGCACACGTCTGCAGCTTAGGACAGTCCCGTTTAAAGTGTCCCGGTTCTCGACATTTGTAGCACACCGGCTCTTCGCCGGGAGGCGGGGTCGCGCTGCGAGTCCTAAGCGGCTTTCCTTTGTGCCCGCGGGTCTCCCTTCTCCCTTCCTCTTCGCCCTCGCTCCCCGCGAGCATCGCTCCTCCCCAAGCGACCCCTCGACGCTGCCGGTCTCACAGCCCCGACCGCTCCGACCGCTCCGACCGCCTCCCCAGGTCGTACATACTCAGCGATTGCTCATTTCGCCACGCTATCTCGTATGCCTGGCGCAGGGTCGCGTTGGGCCCCAGATTATAGGTGTGATCCCGGGCCGTGCGAGCGAGATCTCCGGTCAAGCCGTCCAAGAACTTAGCCACCACGATCCGCGGTTCATGGCAGCTAATATCCTCCGCCAACTGATCCACCCGACGGTAGTAAGCTAGTAGCGACTCCCGCGGCGCCCTTCGGAGCAGCTCGAACTCTCTCAGCCGCGTCGGCGTCTGTGTTGGGAAGTGCTCCTGCAGCTCAGCCAGAAATCGCTCGGTGGGGTCCCGCAGCCGCAGGATCTGGCCCTCCTCATCGCGGCGCACTCTACCGAAGGCATCGCGCTCCTCCTCCTGTAACAGCAGGTCGCGAACCTCCAAAAAGAAGGCTTCCGCATCCCTTGCCAACGTGTTGCCCAGCGACCGGAAGAAATGGCGGAGATCCAAGCCATCCTGCTCCCAGCAGAATTTTTCACTCCGCACGTGCATAGCGTATGTCTTCAGACGCGGACCTGCTTCCTGGTCTCCCGTGAATCGCGCGGGTACCTCCACCTTCGGGAGACTTGTATAGCGGTACCGCGCTCCCTCTTCCCATGCAGAACGACGCGAATATCCTCCCGGCCCGAAACTGCTTGTCGCTGGGGCACCGCTCTCGCGCCTCTCTCCCCCAGCCGCACCGGCGCCTGCTTCGGGGGCCTCTTCCGTTCCTCTGCTCGTCGCCCTCTTGGAGCGAGCTCCTGCAGTTCCTTCCCCCGCCTCAGAAGCAAATCCCTCCGTTCGGCAGTCCGCCCGCATCGCGAAGCTGTCGGAGCCGCGAAGCGCCGCTCCGCGGTCAACGCCCCCTTCGCTCGTCTCCTCGCGATCTCCCGCGAGCCCCGGTCTGGGCGATTCCGGATGCCTGCCCCCCTCGTTGACCGGAGGCTCCCCCCCTCTCGGCGACGAGTCGTCTCCCTTGGGTAACCGCACGCCACTACGAAGCGACATGCCCGCCATGACTTTGTTTGTAGGAAAAGATCCCGAGGTCCCGTCTCAACCACCTCGTCTACTTAGCTCTCCTTCATTTATCCTCTCATGGTGGATCTGACCTTTGCCCGAGAAAGCTTCCACTAGCAACAAGGCATATAAGTCTTCCCACGGTGTCCGAGAGAACAAACAAAGTAACGAAGCGATAGCTCGACCTTGGTTTTGTTCTCCCTCACTAGAGGATGCCTCCTAGGCCAAACCCTTCCCTCCCAAATGCTCTAGCCGCAAGCCGTTTCGGGATTTTCTCTCCCATGATGGCTCCCGGTAATTGTGCCATCCCTGCACCAATCCCCTCTCTGCATGCCCGCGCTCCGTGTCGCTCGCACCCCTGCTGACCTGGATGACGTCAGCTATCCTCCCTTTCCAACTGTCCACCTCCGCGCCAACCTCCTATCCTGAAATTCGGTACTGTACAACCAACTCCCTGAATCGCATAACCCTATCTACACGAACGATTATACTCTATTCTTACACCCAAACTACAGTGCTGTCCCATGCATTCTTGGTACTTTTATGCTACCAAGAGTCATGCGACATGTCGCCAACGCCTTTCTGTACGCACCTGTGGACGCCGAAATCTTCGTCGAGCAGCCCCACGGATTCATCGACGATGCTACAAAAGTATGCCAGCTGGTAAAATCCCTCTACGGAATCAAACAAGCCCCGCGGCTCTGGCAGCAGCACCTTCACGACCGCCTCATCAGGATCGGCTTCCTGCAGCTGCCGCACGATCAAGGAATGTACCGACTACAAAAGAGGGAGGATTTCATTCTACTCATCGTCTACGTCGACGACCTGCTCTACGTCGGCTCCACTACCGACGTCGTCACCTGGTTCGAAGGGGAGCTAAGGAGTGACTTAACACTGACGGTGTCAGACACCGTAAGCCAGTACCTAGGTCTTGCTCAACCTACTTTGAAAATGCGTTACAAGAGCCCCTTTACTGCACCGAGCTTCATGAAATCCAAAATTACTATTTATCATATACATCACCTAGCCTTACCTCAATGTCTCATGCACGGCTTCACCCTGGGGGCTACATCTACCGACTAGAGCCTATCAGGACTATCTCCTGGCAATCAAGCAAGCAGGAACTAATCGCGCTATCCTCGGCTGAAGCGGAATATATCGCTTTCTGCTCTGCGACCAAAGAAGGACTTTACCTACGGGAGCTACTCGAGAAAGCGAAAATCGCGACCATGCCCGTCTTC